GAACATCTCAGGACCGGGAATCCTGTTTTCTTGTCTTTTGTAATCTTTAGAGACCCCTTGAGACTATTTCTAAGCCCTTTTCTTCTTACCAACATATGTAATCACTTCAATTTCTGTAACAACTAAGAAGGAAAAAACTCAGCTAACTAAATTAGTAATACATTTGTTCATAATCTCAACTATTTTAGGGCCTATGAACCTATAATTCACAATGCCCAGGTTTAGGACAATCGTTCGCATTATCTATTGTGCATTAGGACCTTGCTGAAAATGCACATTGCTGGGCCTGCACCAAGGGTTTTGTACATCTGGAGTCAGATGCCAGGACATCTGCCTTCAACTAGGATCCCAGGAAAGAGTTGAGATGTGCCCAAGTTCACACAGCTACTAAGTGGCAGACGGATTTAAGCTGAAGTCCAGGGTGAAGAACTTCTGTCTTTCCTAGTCGCAGAGTGAATGGAAATGTGTAGGTTGATAAAGACTAAGGCTTCTCCAAGGCGTTCTTGCAAGTGAGTCCCCCGCTGTCCTATTCCTAAGCACTCATCGGGGGCACACTGCTTCTCCACACTCTGAGATGCCCATGCCTTCAGCATTGTGATCCTGGTGCTGATGGTCAGTGTACCTTCTGCCCTGCCTTCCCCATACTGTACAGCCACTAGTCTTCAGTGCCCCCTGTTAATACCCTGGTGGTACCTGTAACATGTTGATGGAGATATTTTATTGCTGTATCTCAATTAATGAATGGGATTGAACCCTTCAAGCAATTCAAGAGAAAGAGAATGAACATTGATTAAGTGCCACCTGTGTACACATGGTTGGCACTTGAGGAGCTAGAGGAGTGTCCAGCTCCTATAGACTCAGTATAGCATGCAGACAAGTAAGACACTTTGCAAATGATATGTCATTTAATCTTCACACAAATGCTTTGAGGTATTATCATTACTGTTTTACAAATGAAAAAAATTGAGGCTCAGAGAGGTTATAAAACTCACACTGTCGTGCAGCCAGTTAGGGAGAACATCCGGCTTTAAACCAGGTGTCTTACTCCAAAGCTCACCATCTTGCCATTCACCTACACTTCTTTTCCAGGCTCAAAAACCCCAATATTTACATAACCATTTCATAACATTATCTAGGATGTTGAAAATTATTAGTTGCGGTTCTCATCTCTTTGACCACCATATGCAGCTTTCACACATCTCTAAATATTAATTCTAAGTGCTTTCTCTTACAGTTTTCCTCATTACACAATAATCAAAGTAAATAAAATGTGCTTACCATTGCAACTCTCCCATGGGGCTTCCCCACACATTTCACTGTCTCACACAAACATTCAAAATAGGCACATGCATGTCTATGAACACATTCCTTCCACTTTTGCTTCCTTCCCACTTCCTCTTGTTAATGGGACCATTCAGCCTTCGACCAGAGGTATCGGCTCATCTGGCCTATCCCAGCTTTCTCACTGTTTACCAAGCTGCACCTCACCCAGGACATCCCAGGTATTCCCAGGACGCTGCTGCTACCTCCCTGCTAATAGCTCCCTGAGGGCCCTCTGTAGCTTCCTGAATGGTCCACTTGCAGGCACTCCTTAGACCAGTCCATCTTAGACTGACTGCCATTTCACTTTTGCCAAGACAGGGCTGAGGTGCTTGGTATTTGAGGGAGAATAAAATGGACTGCATCGTCATCTTTCCTTCTAGTGTCTCTATCTACATATCAGGTGAAATATCAAGGAAGCAGGGACCCCATATCATAGTAACTTCGCACTTTAGAAAGAAATGTCTTTCACTGAGTCATATTTCAACTCGGTGGTCCTGGCGTTAGTGGTGAGGGAATGTTGGAAATGGCTATGGGAGAGCTGTGTTTGCTATTCTCTTATGATACTGAGTACCTCCTGTAGAATGATCCATGTAGTAAATCCCTTCTAGAATTTCTTCCCAGGAATAATTTTCTCTCTTGAAGAATAGGTATGTTTTATTTGTCAGAAAAAGAAAAGCTATGTCACCCATCATGTGTCCCATTTTGCCATTACTATTAGCAAGCTCAAGAGTTAAATTTCATGCTCATATACATTGATTATCTCATTCTCAGTTTCTGGAGAAAAGTAACTAAAGAAAACTTCTCTTTTCTCGCCTATGATTTCTGAGCTCTGGAGGCACCAGAAATCTAGAGAAGGGCCCATGATATCTTTTTGCTTGAACATCCATACTTTTTAGAAGTTCTCATGAACATTTGCTGGGATTAAGAAAGCTAAATCTGGTGATGTTGCACCCCTTCTCCTTTATGAATTCTTACTAATTGAGAAGGATATTAGAACCAGTTACATTGTCAATGTTATTATACATAGCACTGGGGTTCCTAATAATTAATAAGAGAATGCATCTTGTATACAAAGTCAAAATCCTCCCCCACCCCCAATCACAATTTATCCAAATCTGGTCTTCAGGATCCACCTGTAGGGGGATGTGGGTCTGCCAAACAGATACATCCCCAGCCACACAGAGGATCATAGCCTGATTCACATCTAATTGATGACCAGGGAGAGGAAGCTGGAGGTAGCCTACCTCCTGGACTGGCTCTGGAAGAGATCCCTAAGCTGTGGCCCAGTCAGCTTCCCCAAGAGATCAGCAGCAAAGATGCCGTTGAGGCCAGGCTGGTACAGAAGAGAGAGAGCCCATTCGTGACTAGTGACCTTTACCCAGGACCACTGCATAGCATGGTGCTGGTTACTCACACAAGATATTCAGCTGGGGGGCCATATGACAGGGCTGAAATCCTATCCACTCTGCTCGTTTTTATAATTCATTCTTTCAGATGGGATGCCTTTTGCATTTAGTCCGCCTGCAGGGGGCACCTTTTTCTAATCTACACAAAGGCACCATATGAGCTACAGGAACACACTCCTTTTACCCTAGTCTCACATAAGCCGCTCTTCTGATGAGGAAGGCTAAGTGTGGAGGCTGGGGGGAAGCGGGGATTGGGAGCATGAAGCAAGCAAGCAAAAGTGATCATCCAGTGTTCTTCTCTGATGGGACATGGAGGAAATGTCTCTTCCCTCTGTAAATACATGAGGAGCCAAGGTGGTAAATATTGTCCGCCTATAATTGTATAATCTGACAAGAAGGGTAGGATGTTAGGAAGAGGGTAGTATACAAAGGAAAAAAGGAGCATTGAATTGTCACCAATTCATACAGTCAACAAGTATTAACTTAGTGCCTACCATGTGCCAGGCACAGTGCTAGGCGTTGGAGATACTGTGGTGAATAACACAATTCTATCAAGACATCTAGTTCTGGTTTCCATTCTCTGTGTTCCCTTAGGCAAATTATGAAATGAACTTCTATAATGTCAGCATTGTTCATGTTCTCTCCTAGTTCCAGCATTCTAACTGTATGTTTACATCTCCAGGGAACTTTCTGAGCGATGTTTCTTCATAGAGTTATTGGCTTAGGAAGATGCATCCCCAGAGTTCCTCTCCAAACCTCCATGTTCCTATGTGTTAAAATCAAAGCCATTATTCTCACCTACTTGCCCAGTTATTTGCCAAGAAAAACTATCAGCAGGTAGCTCTACTGAATTGAGGAATCTGCATCAACAGGCTTGGATGAGTAATCAGAATAGCTGGAGTGAGGAAGGGCACGTGCAGACGCTGGAGAAGTAAGCAGGAGTGAGCCCAGGAAGAAGCATGTAAGACAGAAAAGGCACTTCTGCTTTGAAATGAGGGCAACGGGGGAGAATTTTTAACAGAGAGGAATGTGATCAAATTTGCATTGAGAATAATCACTAGCTCCGCTGTGGAGAGGAGCATCATTAGAAATAGGGAGATGTGCTCAGGGGCTATTTCTGCAATCAGGAAGGACATATGGTGGCCTGGATTAAGGAAGTGAGAGACAGTGAGGATGAAGACAAGGATATGGAATCAAAAAAGATTTGGGCGATCCAATGTCCAAGACTTGGAGACTGATTAAATATGGGAAGAGAGGGAAGAGTGCTCCCAGGTTTCTGGTTTGGGCAATGGAGTGGAGTCTGTGCCTTGCAGCAGGCCTGAACTGGCCGCTGAGTCCCAGCAGGGGTGGAATCTGGAGAGAGTAATAAGTGGGGCTAGGAGATGACGGAAAGGGACCTGGGGAGTCCACCAGCTCCCCTATTTAATACAGGCTGCATGTCGCCACCTCGTTGAACTCAAGACCACATACACTGTAGGTCCTGAGAAAATGTATGTTGTGTTAATTAATTTTGTAATGTGAAAATGTAAAGTGAACTCTGGTATTGATGCCCACAAGCTTCAGATTAGGCTTGAAGAAGCCAGCAGTTCTTCAGCCTCTAGAAATGTCTCAAGAGAACACCTTAATGAATGGGAGATGTGAAAGAGAGACTGTGATTCAAGGCATCTCGAAGGCATCCAAATCTGGCATCTTGTTCAGTTCTGTAACCTCTCAGAGATTGACACACTCCATATACTCTCTGATTGACTTGAATGGGATTCCCTTGCAAACCACAGATTCTAAATTAGCCCCCAGTAGGTAGAACATTTATAGGAGACGTATTCTACCCTGAATACCCCCTGGATGCTGTTACACTGAATTTTGACAGTAGCAGAACTGAGAATAGGATCATCTTTTACTAGAATGCCGTTGCTGCATATTGATTTCTGTAAGCCAAAGATGTTTGTAATAAAAGAACATTTTTTTGAAAGAAGGAAGATAGTTAATTCCATGCTAAGAAATGTCAAACACAGTCTTTCTATGGTATTTGTTTTGTTTTGTTTTTGTTTAATCCAAGGCAAGGCATTTCTTTTGCAGAAGAAGGGATAGTTTTTCCCAGGTCTGGAGATTAAACAATTTAGTAGTCATTTCACGTGCAGCTCACAAGAAGGGGATTTGCATATGAATTTGTTTCGGCCAGAAAACACATCTGAACGTGTTTCGTGGGAACTCTCACTATCCCTGGCAGCTCCTTTTGGCCATCTCTTTCTTTTCTTTTCTTCATCCCTGCAGGTCACCGGATTGAAACTGTCTCAGGACCTCGACGATCTTGCCATTCTCTACCTGGCCACAGTTCAAGCCATTGCTGTAAGACACTTTAATACCATTTTTCAAGAGACTTAAGGGCATTCAATAAACTTTAGACCACACAGTCTCCAAGATACAACATATGCTTTTGAGACAGAGATTCTTAATTAAAAGGGAGGTTGCCACAAAGAGATGCTAGTCTGTCCAGAAGGAAATCTTGGTGAAGGTCTTCACCTGCTTTACAAACAACCTCACATAGCTGAAAGGACTTAAAATCTTTGGACATCATACTTGTTATTAATCTGATTTGTCTTCTAAGTTCAATTAAATAGAAGCATGTAGATGCCATATATGCTTGCATTAAGAAAAGCTGGTGTTGGGGCTGGCCCAGTGGTGTAGTGGTTAAATTTGGCTGGCTCTACTTCAGTGGCCTAGTGTTCACGGATTTGGATCCCGGGGGTGGACCTACACCACTCGTCAAGCCATGCATGCTGTGGTGGCATCCCACGTACAAAATAGAGGAAGATTGGCAACAGATCTTAGCTCAGGGCCAGTATTCCTCACCGAAAAAAAAAAAAAAGCTGGTGTTAAGAATGTCCAAATTTATATAACACATGATATTGTTCACTTTGCAAAAGGATTCATTATAGGGTTCCTTTAAATAGTACGCTTCCTTAGAACATGAAAGTGTTTGTTTTTAGATAATTAGCTGCTTAAATGAGAGGTTTGGATGGTTAGGGAGGGAGAAAGGGGAGAATTTAAATCTAAATTGTTAGGAACTCCTAAACTGAAGATCAATCAAAAATGAAAACAAAATCCTAGAAGCTCAAACATCATTGTCTAAGGAAGTTTATTCTCTCAAGGCGCTCCATGAGTGGCTAGGAGAGGGCTCTAAACCCTGAATCGGGCACGAAAGACTATGTGTGCACACGTGCTAGGAACGCAGTGTGGTGGAGTGGCCATGGCTTTCAGGACCTCGGAGCTGGTAGGAACCCCAAAATAACAGTTAATTCAGTGAGGCTTAGCCACTCTGGAAAGAGAAAGGGGACCAACTGAAAGGAAAAATCAGTTCACTGAATTCTGATTCAAAATTTATTTTTCAGAAACATACCTGTTTGTTTATTAATGCTATATGGATATATTTATATGCTATTCAATTATTCTATTTCTCCACTCACTGCCTTCAAAACCTCATTGCTTCAAATAACAGAACTACATGTGTTTTTTCCCCATATATTCACATCACCAACAAAAGTGCTTTTTTTATATTCAGATTTGTCCAGGGTCCATGTCCACGTGATAAGAGAGCAGAGCTTTCCAGCTACTGAAGGAACATACAGTCTTTAATGCAGCTGCATGGGAGTATTGAATTGGCCAACTTGACTAAACAGTCCTTTTAGTTTATAATAAAGACCAGTTTTAACTGTATCTTCCTCAGGCAATTGTCATATAGATTGAATAGCTTGGCCAGTTCAGTGAAATCAGTCAGCCTGCTATATTCCTGGGAACTGGGTCAAAAACAGACAACTGGGGGCTGGCCCTGTGGCGTAGCGGTTAAGTGCGCACTCTCCGGTGCTGGCGGCCCGGGTTCGGATCTCGGGCATGCACCGATGCATCACTTGTCAGGCCATGCTGTGGCGGCGTCCCATATGAAGTGGAGGAAGATGGGCACGGATGTTAGCCCAGGGCCAGTCTTCCTCAGCAAAAAGAGGAGGATTGGCATGGATGTTAGCTCAGGGCTGATCTTCCTCACACACACACAAAAAAAACAGACAATTGTGACATGTATCAAAATGGAGGAAGTGATTAGTAAGATGAAAATGGAAAACAAAAATGGACATCATTAGTAAAGGCAATTATTTAGTGATCCTGTTTTACAGTAATGATGATGATAAGTAATATAGTTTTGGGGTATTATGTGCCAAGAGCTGTGCTAAATATTTTATACACATTATCTGACTTTACCTTATGAGGTAGGTATTGTAATCCCCATTCCACAGATTAGAAACCTGAGCCTCAGTGAGGTTAGTTAACTTGCTCAGTTTCATACAGCTAGTAAGTGGCAGAGCTGGGATTTGAACCTATGACTTTCTAAACTAAAACTAGATATATGATGTATTGGGGAACTTTTATTTTCTGATTTATTAATGTCATTGTATTAAAAGTCTTATAGTGGAATGAATCGCTTGCACTGAAATGAATTCTCCTGGAAAATCAGAGCTGTATGATGCCCATCCTTCTGAGTCCACGCTAAGAAGTGGACGTGAAGAACAAGGCCACACCGGATGAGCCGAGGCGTACCATCACCTGATGACACTGACTGTTCCCTCTCATTGACACCCGCTCTCTGTGCAGGCACCAAAAAGTGTGCCTTCCCCACCTGTGGCTTAGCACAGTAACCCTGCGAGTCGCTGAGATGGCCCTCATTTTACCGACAGGGAAAACAACTAGTGCCTAATGGGGTTGGAATTTGAACCTCTATCCATCTCACTCCCAGGCTTCTGCTCTTTCCACCTCACCAGGGTGCGTTTTCCTTTGACCTATTTGTAAAAGCTACATGGATGAAATAAGCTTCCAGGCATTCCCAAGAACAGCTTTGACTTCACACATCTTAGGAAACATGGTTAAATTGGCCGGGATTGTCTCACAGAGGTCCCCTTCCTGGTAAGAACACTGTAGCAGAAGTCCAAGAATGTATAAATGAGGTTCAACTTAATGCAGGCCCGGAGTAGGGTGCAGCTTTTTCCCAAATACCACACACTTGGCAGATCAATCTTGCATGTGATGTGCGTACATATATTAAAAGCTATCATATTTATTCTGTCCATTGTCTTAATGACCTTTGTAATACCATGAAGGGAAGGCAATTTAAGACAGATTTTTCAATAAGGCTTTGTTGTGGAGTCAATTGAATTGTGAGCAGTTCAGTCTGTTTTGCAAAAGAATCTGGGTATGCTGATCTTTTAGGCAAAAATGTGCATTTTAATGAAGGATTCTAATAACAGATATTTTCCCATGATGTTCAACTTGAAAAAAAAACTTTGTTTCCTTGGCTCTGAAAATGGCCCTAGCACCTATTTGTTGTTGAGAAGTTACACAAATGCCTCTCTAGAGTAACGTCTGTGGTTGGTATTTTGTAGGCATAGAATGACATTAAAGAGATACTGTAATGAAGTTAACTTGGGACTGTGCGAAACTCGCCATGAAGTAAAATTCTCGATCACGCGTAATTGAAAGACCTGTCAGACACCCAGTTTATCCATAGCCTGTTCATGTCTAGTTTTCTTTTCAGAATAGACCCTTAAAAAGTACCATTTGCATTTGAAGTCTCTTGATTTGCATTGGGTTCTGTACATTCCCAGTGGAAGAGCCTAATTTTAATTTAAATTTCTCTGTGAAAACATTTTTTCCAGAAAGGTAAGCACAAAATCATTTTAGCACAAAGTCCTTCAGCAGGGCGTTTAAGGAGGGTGGAGCATTTCAGAGTGGAGTCTGGGGCCCCAAATGGCTGCCCTGTAACTAACTGCCCCCCAAGTGGGAAATTCCAGCCCACAATGCCACTTGGGGGAGCAACAGGCTGTCACGGCCCCTCCTGAGGGAGTGCCTCTTGTTTGGATCCTTTCTTTCCTTTTCCCAGGGAATGGGCATTGCATTACCCTCCACTCAGCCTGGCTAATCACATGAGCCCGGGCTCCCTGGTTTTAGAAATATCAGAAATACCAATTTTGCATGGCATTTCCATGCATATTGGAAGGCAGCTACCCTCCCCCCATACACGCTGCATTGCCTTGGGCAAGTTATGTAACTCCTAAATGGGGATAACAATATGCAGTTTTTGAATTTGTCATAAGATTAGAGATGATATTAAAGCGCATAGCAAAGTGCCTAGCATATAGCTAATAACCAGAAAAGCTCTCATTTCTAAACACTTTCCATGTGCTCAACACTCTTCTACAAGTTTACATACACTGTCTACAGCAGCAGCCTTGAAAGATAGATATTACTGTATTTTATCAATTTCATCAAGTCTAAGAATGCATTTTAAATTTCTTTTTCATATTAACATTTCTGACAATCCATAGAATTTTCGAGTGAATGAATATGGTATTAGTATTCCCATTTAAAAAATGAGAATTGAGTCTTAGAAAGGTTAGGTATAGGTTTGATTCAAGAAAAAGGTGAAATGCCTTAATGCCGTTCTAGGTTTTGTGAATTCAAAAGCCATACTCTCAGCTACTGCAGATTCATGCCCCTGGAGTAAACTAGGGTTGCCTGGAGTCCATGGAGACCAAATGATCCCTGGTGGATGTAAAGGCATCTGTAAACCTCCTGAAATTACTTACAATACTATTTTGGATGTGACTTTTTTCTGGGGAGGTCAATATGTTTTATCTTAGTCTCGAGAGGGTTCATGACCCCTAAAAAGCTTAAGAAAGAACATCTGGGGGAAATCAGCCATAATCAATAAGCAGGATCTAGCCTTATATGCTACAACATGTTTTAATTTTTTTTAACTTACTACATCTGTGGATTATCTTTGGTGGCCCAAGTTTCACCTAATCCATATTCTTACCAGATTCACTAATAGCTTCAACAAACCCTGAAGACCTCTGGGCTGGAAATTCTGTGCTTTTGCTCTGAACTGCCCTGTCCTTCATCATTTATTCCACAGCAGTCAGGATTTCATGCCCCATGGTCTCCGAATGACCCTTTAGCCACCGTCTCTCCCAGGGGCACCCCTAGGCCCCGGGGGAGGGAGACAGCTCTTCAGATAGCGTTGTCAAAGGAGGCTTCACTTGCCCTACACCCCACCCCCTGGGGCTCGGGGGAATATCCTGACCACTTCCCAAACCCTTTTCCTTTACTTTGGTTAAGCCTCTGATAGCATGCCCTCAAGCTAAGCCACCTTCTTTTCCTTCTCTGTGCACTTGGGTACCAACTTCCCAGCAATAGTGTCACACTTACACTCAATCTGTGATATTGGCTCAGGTCTGTGCTCCAGCCCAAACCCCACCTTCTTCTTCGTGGCTGCACCATCTGTGGCCTCTCAGATCCTTGACCTCCTTATCTCCCTTGACCTCCTTCTACTTCAGCAACTCACTCCCGTGTCACATCTAGGACTTTGTCATCCCCCAAAATTGCTCACTCTCTAAACATTTCAAGGTCTCTCTCTCCTCCAAAAACCCTCTTCCTCAGAACTCTCTGGAGCCACTTTCTCAAACATCACCATGTGGCTGCCTCCTAATGTCATGTCACAGTGCATCTTTTTGTTATAAATCCTTATCCCAAATAAATTATGACTTGTGAACTTTTAGTTTTTGAACTTCCAAAGAAATTATTATTTTTAGCTGTTCAAATATCCTAGCCAAAACTAAATAATTCTAAACTGAGATTCACCTTGGTGACCCTACGGCACTGTCCTCTTCTCAAGCATCAGCCATTTTTACTGAGTTGAGTTCCTATTTAGGGAAGGAAGACTGACTCAGGAACCACTGACTATTATTTTCAGAGCAGTGCTACTGATCATTCCATTCCTAGCACCTAATAGAGGCCCTGGGCCATAAGAGACACTCATCAAATATGTGTCTGAATAAACTGTGTTAGTATTAACTGTGTCAACATTGTCAGTTGTTTTTGTCAATGTTGTGTAACTACTGACAGAAGCAAATGGTGTAGTAATTAAGGGATTTGGAGTCAGGCAGGCCCAGGTTGGAATTCCCACTCTGCAACTTAATTAACTGTGTGATCAGAGGCAACATAATCTGTCTGAGTCCAGCCTTCTGAGATAGTGTATGTAAAGCTCTTAGTTTAGTTTCTGGCACTGGGTAAACACTGGTAAATGTTCCGTATCATTTCCCTTTGCTCCCATACTGATGCTTTCTTCTCTTTTTCCCTTTAAGTTTGGAACCCGCCTCATTATAGAGGCCATGGAGGCAGCAGGGCACTCTGTCAGCACTCTTTTCCTATGTGGAGGCTTGAGCAAGAATCCCCTTTTTGTCCAGATGCATGCAGACATTACTGGTAAGTCTGAGGAGGAGAGAAGGTCATCATAGGCTCAGCAGCAAATGGGCATGGCCAGGGGCTGGACAGGGTTGAGAATAGGAGGCTACAGGTGGTGTGCCAGATTATTTTAAATATTTATGTTAAAATGTCCTTTTTCTTAGGATAACTATGACTTGGTAGTTATGATGGGGAAAGTGACATCTATGCAAATCCAACTATTGAATGATGGTGAGAAATGAGACCAGAGAGATTAGCAAGGGCTAGGTCTTGATTCAAGCATTTACTCAACAGTTTTGAGAAAATATAACCCACACAAGATATAGAGATGAGTAAAACCTGATTCCTGCTCCCAAGGAGCTCAGGGTCTGTTGAGGAAGGCAAACAGCAAGCAGACATATTAAATATAGTGTGGCAAGAGCTCCGAGTGAGAAAAGCACAGGGTATTACGGAAACACAGTGGCACCTCGCCCTGGTTTGGACCTGCGATGGTGCAGGGCAAGTGGTCTGGAGGAAGGGATAGGAAGCAGTCTTGAAGAAAGATTGCAGAGCCCAGCTGCTGTGGGAACTGTGGGTCTGGCTGGAGATGGAAATTTGAGTCCTAAGACCCCAAGATCCTGTGATTCCTTCTCAGCTCATCAGAATAGGGATCATGACACAGATGGAAAGAATCCAGAGTAATGGGCTGATCCCTCTGTGATATGAGCAGACAAAAGCAGAGCAGGATCTGAGGTGCACACCCCTTGGCCCCAAGGAAGGCACCCCATTGGCGGGAGGCTTGCTGGTGTCCCAGAGGCTGGCCTGGACTTCCGTCCCTCTGGACCTGGCGCCCTCATGCCTCTTGTTCCCTTCTCCTCCAGGGTCTTCTGAAGACCGATGTCCCCTCCCAGGACCCATCCCAAGATGGCCAGGCAGCAGGGCAGGGCAAGGGGAGGGAAGTAGGGGCAGATTGGACACTGCTCACACACAGCCTCTCCTGCAGCCTGGTATGAGCGCGCGCTACACTGACCTGCATTCATCATGATCTCTTGCCTCTGACAGCTGGGTGGGTCAAGGTTTCTGCCCCGGACTCTGCCTCATCATGTCTCCCTTCCCCTCCAGGTGACACAGATCCTGTAGATGAGGGCCCTACCAGATGTGATGGGTATAGGTGACCCTGCCATTTTGAGATCAAACTAAATAGGTTACTTATCCCTATCTTAGAGATAGGTAGACTGAGAAACAAGCCAGAGGACAGTATAAAGGAGCACACAGTCTAAGGGTAAATATATCAGGATGTTAGGTACAGAAAATACTACCAGTAACCAAGCTCCCACTGTGTGTCAGTGTGAATCACTCTATATACATTTAATCCTCACACACCACCAAAAGGTAGAAATCGATGCCCTCATCTTACAGACAATGACACTGAGGATAAAGGAGGTGGATTAAATTGACTGTCCGAAGTCAAGCATCCAGCAAGGGGCAGGACCAGGATGCTAACCCCGGTGTCCAGACCCAGTGTCCTCTCCACTCTGCTGTGGACCCAGGTTTCTCGACTTTTCTGCCCAGTTTGTAACCATGTGATGATGACACCTCCTTTCCTGAAGTGTCCAAAACCTATGGAACTGAGCCATTCTGAGGCAGAAAGACAGAAGACATAAAAAGGAGCCCAGATTACCTTGTAATTTTCCCGGGGAGAAATACCATAACTACATTTTATCTAAAGTCAGCTAGCTGGTTCACATAAGAATCAGGCTTAAAATTTGATCTGAGTGACTTTCCAATTTCTAGCCTTCTAATAGCCACAGAGACTTCCTACCTGGATGCCGGAGGGGAGATAAAATCAGCCTTGGCTAACACATCACCCGAGGTGATGGAAAACAGGGCTGGAGAGCAGGGCAGCCGAGTGACCCCGGGCCCTGACTCAGCACTGCCGCTCTGGCCTTTGTGAAACTGGGTCTTCTTCCAGGCCTGGCATCCCTGAGCTGACTCAGAAGCCCGGGTGCAGTGGCTTCACAGAAAGTTCTGCTTTGGAAACTGTTCTCCTTCAAGCTGTTGAATGAAAAGGCTGTTAATCGTTATTTGGATTCTGATGGAAACTGGACCCTTTGTCTCTGACTGTGGACCAGTTACAGTTCCGAACAAAGGGCCTTTTCTTTGGCCTGGAATTCCTCGGCCTTGGGAAGCCTGTGCCTGAGAAGTGATGGCAAAGTGCGTCTGCCTTTAGATGCTTTGGGTTCTGCTAAACTCGTTAATGCCTCAGATAAAATAGCTCACATTCCAGGCAGAGATGCCTGCTTCCTCTCCTTCAGCCGCACTCAGAGAAAAGAACACATTTGCTTTTGTTTCTGTCAAAGGCACGTACACAAGCAGTGGGTATAGAGGGGGGAGTCTTTGGTGCCTTTTAACATTGTAATCGCTCTAGTTTTCCTGCAAAGAAAGACTTAGAGAGGCCCATGGACCTGGTACATGATTTTCAGGAATACATGTGAAAAACACAACGGAGTTTGAACGATTCTTTTGACTAATAGAAAGAGCCGGGGACCAGCTCTGTGACTCTCGGCAAGTTGCTTTACCTCTCTGAACCTCATTTCCCTCTTCTGAAAGATAGACGTACTGTTATTTCCCTCGCGTAGATTGTACTGAGAAATAAATGCTCGCGAATTTGTAAGCCTAGCTTAAAGCAGGTATTTAATACATATTAGTTCACTTCTTCCTCAAGGCAGCCCCATGCCTGAGATAGGGAGGTACATTTGAGGAAAAAACAGGTTAATATTTGTAAGCAAATCTTTGCCATTTGGGGAACAGCCTGCTCTGTGCAAGCAGGGAGAGTAGGGCTTTGCCAACTGGGGAAACGTCCTCTCCGTGAGCAGGACCCTCCCTGTCCCACGGGCATTTGGTCAACTGTGGTTTCAAGAAGTACTTGGTGTGCACTAAGTAATTGTAGGTTCTCCCACTGACTTGGGACTAAATGTTCCTCCCTCAATTTTGTTTTTTAGTACTGGCAGTTTCAGTAGGGGTTTCCCTTTTTCTGTCTTATTCATTATGTTAATCATTTGTTCCTTCATTTATTCACTCAAAAGCCTTCTCTGAGCACCCCAGTGCACCAAGCTCTGAGCTTGGCCTGGAGATGCAAAGAAGAACAATAATGTTCTGCCAGAGGGTCATTACAAACAGAAAAAGTGCTCTCAGTGCTCTGACCCATATCCAGAGAGTCCAGTGGGGACCCGGAGGACGTGGGTGTTATTATGAGTCAGGTCCAGGCAGGGAACAGCTGCCACACTCAATTGGATTAACTGGAGAAAAGTTGAATAAAGGGTCTGTTTACGGAGGCGCGGGCAGGGTGTGGGGAAGCCCCGGCCACCAGCAGCACCCTGGGGCTGCGCACAGTCTCACCATCCCCAGGCTTGCAGGGGCCAGGGCAGAGGGTCACCAACCTGAGACTGAGGGGCTCAATCAAGGATGCAGCCAGAGGACGAGGGGGCCACGGACGTGGTCCACACAGGCCGGTGTCCCAGGCCCCGGGGCAGGTTGGGAGGGTGGGAGGGAAGAGGGGAGGTTGACCTGAGGGGCAGATGGAAGCAGTGAGTTGGTTCTACCCAGGGTAATAGGGGTGAGGAGAGACCTCAGAGATAAGGGAAACTTTAAGAATCAGAACAGCTAATGCTAATTTAGTGCTTTCTGTAAGCCAAGCGCTGTTTCAAGTGCCTTACTTATACTGCACCTTTAATCCTCACAGCAACCCCTTGAGGTAGGTGGAATTTTAATCCCATTTTGCAGATGGGACATCTGAGGCACAGAGAGGTTAGGTAGCTTGCCTAGGATCACACAGCTAAGTCCGCGGAGAAGCCAGAATTCAAACCCTGGCAGTCTGGCTCTGGAGCACTTTGGGCTGAAGTTGAGAGCTGATGGGGGATTCACTAGGATGACTCTGGTCTCCAGTTCCCAAGGGCAGGGGACTGTGAGTAGTTCCTCCCTGCTCAGAGTGAGTGAGGGTAAGGAGGAGCTGAGAGGTGAAGGGCATTTGGTGATGCAGTCTTCTAAAAAGTCCCAGGCCCCTGGGGGTGGTCACAGTCTTACTCCCATCTGCAGGATCCCCAGGTTCTGCAAAGGCTCATAGGGCTCTCTCTGGACTTGGCCAGCACAGCCCTTCAGTGTGGCCTGGTGTCTGTCCTCCTTTGGGTGGCTGATGGCATCTGCCCTGTCCCTTCCCCACTGTTTATTTCCAGCCCAGGTGAAGTTCTTGTAGAGGGGATCCGCTCACCCTCAGTGCTCGTTCTACAGTAGTGCCCACCATTCTCAAGGCCTTACCGTAGACCGGAACATGTGCTAATCTCCCATTAATACTCACAGCAAGCCTGTGTGGTGTGTCTTATTATCATCCCCATTTTACACATGGGGAAACCGAGGCTAAAAGGGTTTAAGTGACTTGCTGAAGGACACAGGGCTGGTGGAGCCAGGTCTGAGCTTTTCCCAGAGACCCTGCCCACCTGATACTTGCCAGCAGTCTCAGCGCTGGCCCTGCAGGTTGGGACTGGGATTCCTCAGTCCTCTGGGATGTGTGTGGGAACTCTGTTCCCTGCCCCCTTTGTCTGGGGAGGCTGGGCAGCTGACCCCACCCTGGAGTGGGAGGATGGGTTAGGAGGTGGTGGGAGTGCAGAGGAGAATGCATCAGGGAGGGCTTCCCAGAAGAGAGAAGGAGGGAAATCCAGTCTTTGGAAAAATAACTGTAATGTCTTGAGTAGAGGAAGATTTTACACGTCTGGCCACAGAGCTTAGCTCTGTGAGTTTGCTGCATCTCCTGATTAGCAAATATGTTTGTATGTATAGTTTACATATATTTTATTTATATATATGTAATATACATATATAAATATATACACAAAATCCCAAGAATTCTAAATTATTTCTCGTAATCTTCAACCCCCCGTGAGCCCTCGACCTCTGGGAGTTGGTGTGTGGAGGGCTCCTCCTGCCGGGCAGACCCTCCGCATCCTTCAAATGCCTGCTTTATCCTCATCTCCACTGTGGTTCCCCCTGCCCCATACCGGGAATTCGTCCTCTCATCATGTAAGCCCGTACCATGTACTGGATGCTGGTCTCAGTTCCGGGGACTCGGCAGTGGACCAAACAAAGTCCTGCCTCATGAAGCTTATGCTCTAGCAGGGGAACCAGATGACAAAGAAGACAAGTAATGAGGCAATGTTGGGAAGTGATGACAAGAGGGAGAGGGGATGAGGAGTGTTGTGAGTTGTCATTTGAAATCAGATGGTCAGGAAAGCCGCCCTGGGAAGGGGATTTTTGCACACACGCTTGAAGGAGGGAGAGGGAGTTGCCGTGTGGACATCTGGAAGGAAGTGACCCAGACAGAAGGAAGAGCATGGACAAGGGCCCTGAAGCAGATTCAAAAAAGAGCAAGGAGGCCAGGGCAATGTGGCCGGGAGGAGAGCAGAAGAGGATCAGGGTGGGGAAGTGGTACCCGTCCTGGTGGGCCTTGTCAGCCGTGGTAAGGGCTTTGGCTCATATCTGAGACAGATAGGAGGCCTGGAGGAATTAATCACACCCTGTCTTACGACTTCCCTCTTCTTAGTGCACCTCAGAGAACCAACCCCCTGCATGGCCTTTATCTCTGTCTCATCCATCTCCCCTTTGAGACCTGAACAGCAGGACAGAGTCTGATTCATCTCTGTGTTTCTTGGGCTCAGCAAAGCTCCTAATGTTTGTTGAACTGAATTTGAACCAGTTGGCAGGTAGCAGGTAGCAGAAGCCTGGGAAACCTGGGCGAAAAGGTCTCAGGAGTTGGTATATATGTATCGATAGAGATAGATGGAGGGGGGCGGGGAGGGAGGGAGTGGGGGAGGGAGGGAGGCGTGATGGCTCCTGTGGGACGCTTGGCTACCGCACCAGCAGACATGAGCCCGTGATAACCCTTTAGAACCAGGTAATCCTCAACAACAGGGACCTGCGGTGGTGGGAAGGAGGTATGCTGCTGCCTTCACGTCAGGTGTTGGTGCTTCTGGGGCCGCTTGCTGGCTCCCCACACTGCCCTGGCCCTGCTCGCTAACCCAGGTGTGGCCTTGTCCCGTGCAGGCATGCCAGTGATCCTGTCTCAAGAGGTGGAGTCCGTTCTTGTGGGCGCTGCTATTCTGGGTGCCTGTGCCTCGGGGGATTTCGCTTCTGTACAGGTATGTGAGGACCTGGGGCGGGCCGTGGCCCCTCCCCTGTCTGAGCCTGTCCTTCCTCTTGACAGCAGCTCACATCTTGCAAAACACACACAGGATATAATTAAGAAATGATAGCTTCCAGCCAGGGAAAGCACAGATGCTTCTAGCCTCAGACATATTTATTGCAGTTTTCGTTTGACTTGGCCTCCGTTAGTGTTGGTCATTCTGTTTTTCTGTTGGTGTTCTTTTTTCTCCTTTAAAATAGCTCAAATTATTTCTTTTAAATTTCCCCTTGACCATTTTTCTTTTTAGCAAGTGAAACAGGTAAGGTTTAAAACTTAAGTTTTTAATGTAAATTTCAGATTTGCGTTTGCTTATTTCATTTCCACCCACCACTTTCCAAATACCTTTGAGGCCTCTATCAATAAGAGACACAAATGAAAATTTTAGTAAAAAAGGAATTAAAAGGGAAAATAAGGAACAAAGATACAGGCAGAAGGAAACAACTTGGCGACGTGATTGAGCATACAATTTGACGCTGAGCTTCCTGGCAGCCAAGACAAAAAAGAACACATGATAAGTTGCATAATTCTTATTTTCAGAAAGGGGAAACATAGTAGTTTCTTGTGGGAGACAAAGTTTTTTCTACCACCAAATTGCAAAAGACATTTCACACATGGGTTTTATGGAGAGACTTTGAGTGGTAAAATAATAGTATTAACAGCAGGTTTACAAAGAGGTGGAGACACGGTAGAGGGGGCAGGTGAGAGCACAGGCGCCAGAGTCTGATGCCTGGGCCCAGATCCTGGCTTGACCGCCTGCTGCTCTGTGACCTGACCGTCCTGTTCTCCACTCCATTTCTTTATCTGCAATAATAATCAATAGCACATTATAAGTTCTTTCTCTGGATCAAGAATGCACATTTAGTCCTACACCAGCTCTGTTAATCCCATATTATAGTTGAGGAACCTAAAGCATTAAAGAAGTTAAATAACTTTGGCTTAAGTCGAAACAGCTAGTAAATGCCGGAACCAAGAAGTCTGGCTCCCAAGTCTTAACTGAGAGTTCAAGAATATTTGGTCACCTGAACGTCAGAGAGCTTAAATGACTTGCCCAGGGTCTCAAGGTCAGGACTAGGAGCCAGGTTTTCCACCTGTAGTCCAGTAATTAGAGTCTGTTTATTGTGACCTTCTTATGTACCAAGAACTATGCTAAGTGCTTTGCATATAATCTTCCTGATACCTGTAACAACCTACATGGGCAACAGAGACCCAGAAAGATCACAGAACTAGAACGTACACTGTTAGAAATGGACACATGCGAAAGTCTGATCCCAGTGTCTGTACCACATTTTGGGAAGTGTGGTGCACTACCCCTATCCAAGCCTCTGGAATTGATGCCTGTGAAATATCTCTTCCCAAGAATTGAATCTACTCATAGACGCTTATGGATTTTAACTGAAGTTTTTAAACAAAGATGGTAGAGTTGAATTCTCAATTTTCGCTGGATTTTCTGGTGCTCTTTCAGAAACATCGCAGGAAGATATGCATTTATTGTTGAAATGTCAATGACTCGTCAGTTATTATTTTAATGTATCAACTTATGAAGATGTTCTCACAACTAGACGCCCTGCCCTTCCTGGGACAAATAGTAATTGCTCAAGCAGAACAGTAGGGACGCTCACCAAGGCCTTGCCTACATTACCTCAGATGAGGACTGAATGTTTGTGTCCCCTCAGAATTGACGTGTTGAATCCATAACCCCACAATGGGATGGTATTTGAGGCCTTTGGGAGGCAATTTGGGTTAGATGAGGTCATGAGGGGGGACCTTTTTGATGAGATTAGTGCCCTTATAAGAAGAGACACCAGAGAGCTTGAACCTTCTCTCGCTGCCATGTGAGGACTCAGCAAAAAGGCAGCCCTCTGCAAGCCAAGAAGGGGGCTCTCACCAGAACCTGACCATGCTGGCACCTTGATCTTGGACTTCCAGCCTCCAGAACTGTGAGAAAATAAATTTCTGTTGTTTAAACACCCAATCTATGGTATTTTGTTATGGCAGCCCGAGGACACTAAGACACCTCATTTAATCTTGACAATCTCCCGGCCTGTGGGATAGACGTTTTTATCCTTGTGTTATATATGAGGAAACCAAGGCTCAGAGAGGTTTTAAGTGATTTCCCCAAGGCTACAGTTAATAAGGGGCAGAAGCGGAATTGAAACTAAGGTCTCTCTGGATCTATATTTTATCCTGACTTTCATTTTTTTTCTACTTGATTTTTTTTTTCTTTAAAAATATTTTTTGGCTTCTTAAATGTTCAATTATGTATTTTCTGAAAAGAAATGTCATTGGTGACAAATCAGGAGATAGTCTGCAGCCCAAACAGAGTAGGACAAAATGCTCCATCAGATGCTCGGGCCATGACTTAACGGCACCCCAGTGATATCTTAGTCAAAACTGGAGTTCCTAGCTCCGGGAGGAGTCCACGCACATTCTCCCCTATGTGAAAACTGAGCTTCATTCCACGCCAGCATCTTCTTCACTACGTGAGATTTTCTGTCAGTCTTCTGGAACGGAATCTGAGATGCGGTAGATCGAATGTTGGAATTGGTGACTTAAGTAGCAGCTGCAAGGCTCACAACATCTTAAAGACACACTCATGTCTCCCATTCAACCCGAGGAAGTGTGTGCCTCTCCTGAGTGGTTTTAGGAGTCACTGTAACCTAGCAGAGAAAGCCCGCAGCTGGGATAGACCTGAGGTCTTATCTGTCATCACAGCCTGAGGAAATCCATGTAGTCTGTGAGAGAATTCTATGCTTGCTTGCTGTACGTCTACAGACAATGTCACTTGGCCTCTCTGGGCTCTTGTTTTATTTGTTTGTTGTATTTCTTTTTTTAAAAAAAATTGTTTAAATAAGAAGAATTCCCACTCATGTGGGACTGTTGCGATGAAGAGCCTTTGAAAGCTCCAAGGACCTCCAAGAGCCCCGGATATAATTATCAACATTGTTATAATGACTATGTTTGGAACTGCTTTGGAAGTGTAAATGCACGTAGACTTAGCTTCATTCACTACTCTCCAAAGAAGAGGCGCCAACCTATGTGCCCCAGGCCTGGAGACCAGCTCAGGATTCTGGCAAGTTGAGTTGAAATAGAATTGCTTCTTCCCTGTGATTCATGTTTTTCAACCTGAACTTCAATACAGTTTTTTCTTTGAACTTCAAAGATCCTAGCTTGGTCTTCAGGGTGCCTGCCACTCCTTCCTTCCAGCAACTCAATAATTCTAGCAAGACAGATGTTTTGTCTTCTCATAGACCACACATCCTTGGATGAAGGATTTCACTTCTTATCTAGATAGGCAAACTTGGTAGACCTGGCCAAAGTCATCTCGTTCAGATGAAGGAAAGGCTAGGAAGAGTCCAGAAGACTCAGGCTGCAGACCTAGGGAAGAGGCCTGCGTGCCTGGGGAGACAGGGTTTCCCAATTTCGGAGGCCCATGAATGGATGACTTCTGCTACGGTAGAGGCCTATACCTTCCTTTGGTTATAACAACAGATCAGCACTTACAGGTGTGGAGTTTACTTACAGCTATTGCAAACTTTTATATTATTTCAGTTCTGGGGAAATTTTTTCAAATGGAAGGAGAGGGATAGTGGATGGAATTTTCTGGTGAGGTGTTAATGAGAGAGATCGGTCAAGTACAAGGTCCATTGTTATTCCAAATTTTGAAACCTGCCGACAATTCCTGGTTTCCACCTCTTGTTCTTTTATCCATTCATATTCTCATTCTCATAGTCCCTCTCTCCCTCTCTCCCCTGCCCTTTCCTGCCTTCCCTTCCTTCAGACATTTGAAGTCTTCCTACTATTCCCTTTTCAAATGAGGATCTCACAAATGGTACTGATACAGCCATCCACTTGCATTAAAGAACGGAATGACTAATAATATCTTAAAGAATTGTTCCTCTCCAGAAATAGTAGTCTTCTTTTAGTAGTTTTCAAAACTGTGTCTCTGCTAGACAGTGTGACAAGTATCATGTCATGGTCATCTTTATACCTGCAGCTTAATCAATCAAATGGAATCAAACCACAGAGATGCCACTCTCATGGTAAAAGTTCAGCTGTTGAATAAGTGGGAGGACATGCAAGGAAGGGAGTCTTCCTCCCTCCTTCTATTCGTAGGAGTGTGGAATTCATGCAGTCTTGACCTCTGTGACCTTCCCGTCTGACCACTCCCCCATCCCTAGAAAGTCACCCATTGCTTCCTTGTGCATTCCAAAGTGATCCTCTCTATTCTGAATATCCTAGAAAGCAAATAATTATAATTAGAAGTTGGGAGCATCCTGTAACAATATTGTAGGCTCCCAGGCCCTGGAAAATTAACAAACTGGAAAAAATAAGTTTATGAAATATCAACATGCTTACATGTTCTAAGCACAGACAATAGAGAGGTTCTAAGAAATGCAAAGGACACATGAACCAAGAAACCGGTTTCAAGATGCTATGAGAGAAAACTCAGTCAAATGGCAAAGAGGTAAAAATCAGAATGGCTTTTCACTTTCTACTTCCTTTAGGCCCCCTGCAGATATCATTAGCTTTCTGTAATTTCTTATCTTAAAAGACAGTCTTTTTCCAAGACTATTTATACAAAATGAGCTTTAATTCTGACAGTGCCCTTCATCTTGACACTCGCTCTCCCAAAACAAAGGGAGTGGAGGAAGCATCAAAGCAAAAATTAGCAAAGGAGGCGTGAGGAGAGACCCAATGAATTCAGCAGTCATTTTAAGAGGAGAACCAGTGTGAAGAAAATAAGCCCTTAGAATCCACCAATTAATCAAAACCCTGTCTCCTCCCGCGGTGTGAGGGTTGCCACCTCTGTAAACCATTGACTCCACGCTCTCCCACCATCAACTTTCCCCATCAGGTTCCAGACAGACTCCTGTGTCTGCCAACCAATCCCTGTAGTGGCCAGTCGAGAGCTGTGAGTGTAACGTGTGCCCACAAGGTAAACCATCCACGCGGACT